TCATGTTGTTGTTTTTTTTTTTGAAGGAGCTACTATTGTAAAAGGATATGCTATGTTGTAATAATTGTAAGGAACAGCATTTGTATCAGCACTTAGAGTGAACGGCTGCCTTGAAAGCTCTTAAAGTGAATGTCAAGTAGGTCTTTTTTCAGTTAGAGAAAATAGGCATATTTCTATAATATAATAACTCTTTGTTTAGGGCTTATTCTATATAAGAGTTTTCTCGTTATGTCATTATGTTTAATAGAGGCATGTATACAGGCTTCAGTTGATATGGTCCATTATTCTTATTTGAATGAATCGTTTCTTTGATCTATTGGGAGTGTAGAGGCAGTAAGCATATAAGAACTGTCTCTCAAAATCGAGCAGCCTTCTAAAAGAAAAACCTACATTGAGTCCTGGTATAAATAAGAAAGAAGCGATTTTCTTTTGTTTCTTGAAGCTTATTTACTGACCATCATGTCATTCCAAACATGACCTTCTTTATTTTGTGTGACGCAAAAGTAGAAATACATTTTTGTCCATACTCGACAATGAAAGTCAACTTGGTTCGAACTGCAATGTTCTTCAAAATATCTTCATTTGTTTTCCACAGAAGAAAGTTAGTCATACATATTTGAAATGACTGGATGATGAGTAATGATAGAATTTACATTTAGCCTGACTTAGCTATCCCTTTAAAGTCATAGCGGTATTCCTTTCACTTTAGCTAAGGGGCCAACCCCTAAAAAACAACCCTACACCATAATCCCTCCTCCACCAAACTTCACACTTGGCTCAATGTAGTCTGGGAAGTACCATTCTCCTTGCAACCACCAAAACCAGACTCGTCCATCGGGTTGGCAGACAGAGAAGCTTGATTCTTCATTCCAGAGAACACGCCTCCACTGCTCTAGAGTCCAGTGGCGGCATGCTTTACACCATACAATCCGATGCTTTGCATTGCACTTGGTGATGTAAGGCTTGGATGCAGCTGCTCGGCCATGGGAACCCATTCCATGAAGCTCTCTTACACTGTTGAGCCAATCTCAAGACAACACTCACATGGTACCACTCTTGAATTCACTGAGCTCCTTGAGTGATCCATTCTTTCATAAGTTTGTAGAAGCAGTCTGCATGCCTATGTTCTTGATTTTAACATGGAAGTGATTGGAACACCCAAATTCAATGATTTGGAGGGGTGTCCCAATACGTTTGGCAGTAAAAAATGAACAAATCTTTTTTTCGAGTCATTTCTTTCATTGAATTAACCAAATGACTCGAAAAAAGATTCATTCATTTTGATAAATGAGTTTGAAACTCGAGTCGCAAACTCGCATAACAGAACAGAGCAAGGTGAGCATTTTTGCTTGTAAAGCTTAAAGCTACACTGTGTAACTCTTTTAGTTTATTCTTAGCTAAAAACACTTAGTTCTTTCAAAAATATATGTGCTCATTAATGTATACTTCATTCAAGTAATAAAGTATTCTCGTGAGTTTATAATATGCCATTGAAAATACATATGGGTAAGGGGTTCTAATGTCGGTCGCCATGTTGCCCCTCCAAATTGAAAGTACATTAGCCAAAGAGGGACATACCCGTTAATTCAAGCTTTGCCTTTCGCGTTTACGTATAAGTTAACAATCATGGACGAGGTCGAACTGGAAGCCATGTTAATCTTGGACTACATTGGCCACCGTAGGAGTTAAAACGAAATCGGAATTGAGAAGAACAGAAACTAATATTCACTGGATGGTCATATACCTTTTCACCGCTAGATGGGGGTAAAAATCACACAGTGTAGCTTTAAGCTTTTTTATCTATTTTTGAAATGACCAATCGTTTCGCTAGATAAGACCCTTATTCATCGTCTGGTGTCGTTTAAAGCCCTTTGAAGCTGCACTGAAACTCTCATTTGGACCTTGAACCATTTGGTGCCCTGTGAAGTCCATTAGCCTATATGGAGAAAAATCCTGGAATGTTTTCATCAAAAACCAAGCAAATTAACTTACTTAAGTTAAGTAAATTATCAGCAAAAGGTTTTTTTGTTGTATTATTTTCATGTTATCACTGTGAAGCTGCTTTGATACAATCTGTATTGTAAAAAGTGCTATATAAATAATGGTGTCTTGACTACTGATCAGAGGACACATCAACTTATGCTTGGTTTTTGAGACATGAATTCACTGTCCTGAAGAATGTAGCTGTAGCCTGTTCACTCAAACAGCCTGTTCGTTTAGAGAACTGGAAGCATGTCTGTGCCCTAAGCTGTGAGCCTTGTGATTGGCTGTCAGAGATTCTAAACTGAGGCTCATGGGAATAGTGAGATTGTCTCTTGCTCTGTTTCTCCACAGCCTTTCCACTGTCATGTTTTTATTATTAAACAACCACCGCATGGAAGGTCTGTCTTCAAAGGCGCAGGCCATTAAAGTTTTTGCAGCCGGGATTTGAGGCAGCATGTTTGTGTGACACACATTACGTAAGTCTTGTCTGACTTACTGTGTAGATTGAAAAGCAAAGCTGTGGATTCTATTTGTGTCTGTCAGTGGAGTTCGATGAAGACTTACTCCAGATAATGCTTGTTTGTTGTTTTGGCAAAAAAACATCTCTGGGACGTTGGTCAGGGACAGCTGCACTGCAATACAGATACATAATAAATAATAATAATAATTTGTTACATTTATATAGTGCTTTTCTCTGGTATACTCAAAGCACTTTACAGGGAAAGGGGAATCTCCTCAACTACCACTAATGTGCAGCATCCACCTGGATAATACGAGGGCAGCCATTTTGCGCCAAAACGCCCACCACACACCAGATACATGACAGTCATGGGTCAAATGGGTGTTTTCTGTCCAGAATTACTTCCCATCCAGTTTTGGCTGAGGTGTCTCTTGCAAAAAAGAGATGATTAACTCTCTGCCTGATAATAATTGAGTGGGTCTTTCCTACATTACATGAGTAAAAAATGGTTTCAACTCTTGTTACGGTCAGCCCACAGACTGATTAAGGAAATATTTAGATATAAAAATGACTTTGATCATATCTCTGTTCGTTGGGTCAGATTGATGTCAGTAAATTAAAGATATAGGATTTTTTGGTTCTACATGCCACCCAAGTTTTCTACCAGGGAGAGATTGTTTGGTGACATCTGAGTTTAGGTACTTCCTGTGTCTCTCTAAAAGCCTGCAGTCAGATTCAGATTATACGCGGCCCCCCGAGCTGCCACACTGATGTCTCTCTCCTCGTCGGCAAGTGTAGCATGAGAGAGCGTATGCTTTGGAGATGAAGATGACAGCCCAAAAGTGCTTTTCTCCCACTGATCAAAGAGGATAACTGGAAGGATTGTCCCATGAATAAAGCTATCAGACACCTGCAGGTATAATTACCTTGTTCAGACGTGAGCAGAAGGAGAGGGCAGGGTTGTTCAGACCTGAGAGCACAGAGCACATTAGAGACTCAAAACAGGCATCCTATTGGAGACGGTGCTGTTTACTGTCACACAAAAGATTTTTTTTATTTGTTCTCTTAACTAGCTGCAAACAAAAATCAAACTACAAAATAAAATGTAAAATAAATTCAATTCAATTCAAACACATATAGTTTTATAGAAAAATATCTTATTTATTCCCAAGTGTTTTTCTTTGTCCTTGCATTACAGAGATGTTCAGGAATAGTTTGGATTTTTTATTAATTTTTATTTTTTTAACTTGAGTGATCCTCCTCATCATTAACGCCTTTAGCTTGCTTACTGGGGTTTGTAAGGAGTAAAGGTGTAGTCACATTAGGGAAAATATGGCTGCATTTTTGCTGAAAAAAAGTCCACTGTTCATTATTGCCACTATAGTGTGTATACTATGAATCACAGCTATGGGATCAAAATACCGCCAAATACATTGTGGCCACGAATCAAAAAATAATAAGCATGATTCAAAGATATAAAAGCATATGTTCATGCTTTTCGCTCTTCTTTCCATCCGAAGCAGAATTAATTTAACAAAAACATGAACATAAATTTAAGTTTCGTGCAAAATATTGTTGAATGTGTTTAAAGTTTTTATTCATGCTTGTTTGTTTTTTTTTTTATTCACGCTTATTATATTTTGTATCCGTGACCACATTCTTTGCTTTTCTGATAATTTTGTGCAATATATTTTTACATTTTTGAATCACACTTATTATTTTTTGATCCATAGCCGCAATACATTTGACGGGATTTTGATCCCATACACAGCTCACACCAAAAAAACACCGTTTCAAGCTATATGTTGGTTAACTGACGGATCTGTGTGATACTAACTTGATCCCATTGCGAATTTTTTTACCTTTCCCTTTTTAATTTCACTCTTGCAAAATTCTTGATTGCGTGGATTCCTGAGAAGGGATTTTGCTGCACAAAAATTCACAATCAATATACCTAGGGCGGCACCATTAATCGAAATTAAACTGTACGCGATATGGCAAAGATTTGCATGATTTTATGTGCAGCTTGTCAGTGAATCACGGCTCTGTGATCAATAGTAAATTCTGTTCCATCTGAAATCCAGAGGGCGCTCTCACGCAGAAACTCCAAATATGCCCCGCAGAAGTACCGGTAACGTACATCATTCCAGGAAATCCCAGAACTGAAGATTGTAATGCTTTGATTGATTAAACATGACTAATAAACACACAACAATGGCAATATATGGTTTGTCTGAGTTCTACCAGCCTTCTTGGGTATATTGATGATAATAAAGTATATGTGACCCCGCCTGTGGAACCCCGGCTAAAGTCGCAGAATCTAATTATGAATAAAAGAGCGTCAAAGTAGTCATAGCCATAAAAATGACAAAAATAGGTAATGTGTGTTTATTGCTGTAAATGATAGATTATTGCAAGGGTTTTGAGATTCAATACTCAAATTTTAATTTATAACATGATAAATACTAAAATTAATGATTTTATTGACACTACGTTATACTTTTGCGCAGCAAAAAAAAAAAAAAACGGACGCAGGCTTCATTGATTTCAATCGTATCCGGGTTTATTTTTCAGCGCAACAACACTTGCTGATTCCTATCATTCAGTTCAGGAACTTCTTTTTGACTTATTTTCAATTAGAAAGAGTAAACAGACCTTAAAATCAATCCGCACGAGTGGCAATCAGGTCAACACAATGGAAAAAAAGCGACTTCATTCAGCCGGCCGGTTCAGATCTCAGGAGGTGTTTCCGTGTCATCGCCAAACATTTAACTTAAGAACAGCTTATGTGTTTTGTAGCTCTGTATTCTGCCAATAATATTATTATATTATATTATATTTGTGTCTTATAAGTGTCAATAATATAATTCGTTAGCTGGATTAACTGTTAACTGCGTCGTTTTGACATCTGACATGGCAGCACCGAAGCATGTGCAAGAACGTAAAATGTCTGATTGCTTAAATATTAATCTCGGTGGAATTGCCCAAATTATGATTTAAGCGGTTTTATAGCGGATTATTTTCTGGAGGATAATGGTGATGATGAACAGGACACATTCTTTGACGAAACTGAAGAGGAATTTGACGGTAAGTTTTTGTCATTATAATTTTTTTAATGCTGAATATGTAATACTGTCAGTGCCAATGTAATGCTAACACAGAATTCAAACTATGATGCAAACATAGTCGATTTAAATGTTTATTACATTTGTTGATTGGAATTGAGTCAGTTTAAATTAATTACTTTTATGACATGATGTTTATTTGTTTGATTACACCCTGAATTGAAGCCAGGGCCATGTAGCCATACCTGTTTCTTGTCTCTATGCCCTCCCCTCAATTAATCAGATCCAGTCTAATATTTTCATATAAAATGCTTCATTATTCATTTTAAATGTGGATTTAAAATGGATAAATCCCCCCGCCCCCCATGTTTAGTTCTCCATTTAGGTCTCTTGCTTTGAATTGAAAAAAATATCCTTGTTTTTTCAGGCAGTGACCAACATGATGATGAGGACGAGCCAGTTTTGGTGATTGAACCTCAACCTATTATAGACTGGCGAATCTGAAGAGGGAACACCAACAAGAAGAATTTGCTTCTAATGCTGGAATTCCAGATGTAAAACTGAAAATAAGTTTCTCTTGCAACTGCAAGTATTTCAATGCTGAAAAGTGTTCTTCATTTTTCAAGGAGGGAGAGTTGCTGTCACTCAGGATGAGTCATTTGGAGATGGACAATACTGTACTAGACATGGTAGTTTTAGTACAAATACAAAGTCACTTGCACTCTGGGGAAGAAACCACTAAATCAAAAAAGGATCACAGACTTTTGTGAATAGAATCTATGAGATTATTAAATATTTTGCATCTAGACAATTTTAGAATGTGTACGAAATTTGAGACTGACCTGTTAAAGGGATAGTTCACCCAAAAATTTGAATTCTGTCATAATTTACTCACCCTCATGTTGTTCCAAACCTGTATGAGTTTCTTTCTTCTGCTGAACACAAATAAGATATTTTAAAGAATGCTGGTAACCAGACAGTTGACGGCACACATTTATTTACATAGTGTTTTTTCGCCTCCTACTAAGTCAATGTGTGCCGCCAACTGTCTGGTTTAAAATATCTTATTTTGTGTTAAACAGAAGAAAGAAACTCAAACTGGTTTGGAACAACATGAGGCTGAGTAAATAATGGCAGAATTAAAATTTTTGGGTGAACTATCCCTTGACTTATTTTTTTAATTAAAAAAAAAAAAAAAAAATTTTTACTCCAGATTTACTCAATGTTACACCGTGGCCCAGTAAGAGAATGAGATTTTCTGCCGAAATGTTACATGTTAATTATTTGATATTGATATATTATTGATATTATATTTGCACTGATATTCCATTTTACTAATAAAGTTATACAAATCATTCCACTGAATTGACATGATAATTGTTGCTACAATCAAGCCCCATTCGTTTCAATGTTTTTAGCTTTTTGGACATGCACATCATAATAAATAGGCCTGTTTTATAAAACTTTAAGAATTTTCCCCAAAATGTGTCATATATCACTAAAAAAGGGAGAATCTCAGCTTTAATGTGGTATATGGCACATATGGAGGATAATTATGGATCAAATGTGTTGCAGTTTTAAAAATAAACTTTTTTTAAAAAATGGAATTTCTCCAAAACATGATTTTCTGAGCCCGGAATTTAGCAAATCTTTGACACAGCCTTACTCAGTCAATATTAAAGATATCAAGGTTATATTTTCACAGAATGTTCTTTACATTATGTAGGATGATTGTATGTAGAAAACAGTGAATCACAAAAAAATGACTTTAGCTGGGTTTTCACAGGCAGGGTCACATATGTATGCTTCAGTGCTATTCGAGATAGCCTTTATAACTGCAAGAATACTATGGAATAAAATGTTGTGTGCCTTATTCTGTGTAAGAAGCCACGTCATCTCACAGAAGGATGTTTTCAAACATTGAACTGATGTTATGAAGTAAGTTTGGAGTAAAAACACGTTACTAAATGTTGTCTTTTGTTGGACATGAGATTCATACTTATCATGGTTGGCAATATGATTTACCTGTGTTGCTTTTTTCAAATCCACTTTATAAGCAACTCAAACTCGCAGTGCTTTCAGATAGAGCAGCATTTACTACTGATCACAAAGCCTTGTTTTACAGACAAACTCTACATAAAAATAATAATCACAGCCTTTGCGATTTCGGGTTAATTGCACTTAATTGTGCAACCTTTGTCCACACCTTTATGTTTTGTTTCTCAACCCTAAGTATTAAACTCAGATGTGTAAATATTCCTGCATCATATGTGATATGGACACATTTATGTTTGATTGCTATACTTGTGTTAGGCAGTTAATTGTTTAGGAGAGACATGTTCATGTTTTGACGGGAGGGGGTGGGGGGTCTCCTTTGCCACCACCCAGAACACCCTAGCGACCCGATAGTAACATCCCTAGCAATGTGATGCCGTGTTTTGTACAGACGAGCACCACTTTCTTTATATATAAAATGTGATTTTTTTTTCAACATGTGCTGCTTTTGTTTTTTTTTAACATTATATATCCATATGTACTTGTTTAAGTGTTTCTGATGGGTACCCCGGCTCATATAAAGGTGTAGCCCTTACTGTAATGCCTTCAAAGGAAGTCAAAGTAGAAATTATTCATAGTGAGCTCTCTTGCATGTGCTCTGTGGGCATTCTTAGCTGTTGTCTTGGAAACAGACCTCCAGCCATTTATTGGTATGACATTCCACTGCTGTGCTTATTTTGGGGAGATTTTTATTTAGCACATCAATGAATGAGATTTAGGAGTAGAAGAGGAGGTGTATGAGAGAAAGAGTGTACCTTGGGGCCAAGGTGCCCTTATGCAGTGCACATTTTATGGGTGCGTCCCACTCTGGGCCATGGCGCAGCATGTCCCCTCTCACGCCAATTAAAGACGGTACATAGCTGGTTAGAACAGGCCCACCTCCTCCACACAAGTCCTGTGCCTCCTGGACAGGGGGAAATAAACACATTAAATGGTGTGATTAATCCATCTTGCAGAGCCATGGAAACAGTAAGCTGCCGGGCTGTGATAATAAAGACAGGGGTCCCAGTGGAAACGGTGTGTGTGTGTGTGTGTGTGTCTTTGTGAACAGGAGGGGGAGGCAAGTGAGTTGTAGAGGGTTCAGTGAGAGGACTGGTTTACAAGACACACACCAGGAACTGTGCGCCTCCAGCACCAAAACTTCAATGTGAGTCCTCCTCAGCTGTAATGGGTTTAGCGCTCTCCTGGTACAGATAGCTCACTCACTACCTTCACCAGAGAGGTTGCACGGAACCGAAGTTTGTTTTCTCGCTTGAGGACGAAAGGAAGAGAGGAAATAGAACAAGTTCACCAGTTCAAAAACGGTAGCTTGTACATGGAGTCATTTGGCCTTCATATAAATAGTCCTTCATAGTGGAGCAAGATGTATTTTTATCCAAGAAAAAGAATAAAGGTACACCTTCAGGGGTGAGAGCATTTAGTATTCACAATGTTCACATACTTGAGCTTGAAGTGGACTTGCTTTCATATATATATATATATATTAGGGCTGTGCAAAAATTAATTGCGATTAATCGCATCCAAAATAAAAGTCTGTGTTTACATAGTATATTTGTGTGTGCTGTATATAATTATTTTGTATATATAAATACCCACACATGCATGTAAAATATAGATTATGTATTTATATATATATGCAGAATTTAAGCGCAAATAATTCTTAAATAATACATGCATGCATAGGTAATTATATATGCAAAATAATTATATACAGCACACACAAATATATTATGTAAACACAGACTTTTATTTTGGATGCGATTAATCGCAATTAATTTTTGCACAGCCCTAATATATATATATATATATATATATATATATGTGTGTGTGTGTGTGTGTGTGTATATACATATATACACTCCTGGGCAAAAAAAAGGCATAATATTTAGTGGTCTTTTAATGGTCTCACCCATTTTAAATCACTGTTCAGGAAATTAGCAAGAATTCCACAAATGCTCTAGATAAAGTAAATTAGCACGGAAAAGCCTTGCACAACTTGTAGACAGCTTTTTACAGGAAAAAGAGTCAGTGTTGTTTCACTCAATGTCAATTTCTTCAAACAAATCTGGACTCTGATCAGGCTAAAACACAAGCCTGATGGACTTGTTCTCAAGTCACTTCTTGGTTGTCCTTGCAATTTGGACAGAAGTGTTGTTTTGTTAAAAAATAACATCTAATCATTCCTCAGATAACAACTTTTAATTTGTGGGAATGTGTGGTATTGTGTAAAAAATAAAATTAATAAATAAAAAGTAAAAAAAAATACAACTAAGGAAAAAAATACAACTCTCAAACTTACTAAGACAAGTAAACAGTCAGATATAAAATTAGAACAAAAAAACCAATCACAAGCAATAGGACAACAAACTACAGTAAAACAAAAACACTAAACACACATAAACTAAAACAATAAATAATACATCAATTATATAATCAAATATGTAAAAAACTGCTCCGTCACTGCATAATTTACACTTCACCGTGTACATTAAATATACATGTATTCTTACAAAAGGGATTCACTCAAGAGCAGTGAGAGAGTTTCTGCTGTTTGATTAACAAACACAGCAGCATGCAGCAGGTTTATTTGGTTGCTGTCACTATAAGACCACATGCACTGATATGATCCAATATACTGTTACACATGCGTTTTCTTTCTCAACTGTTTATGTTCATTTAAGACATAAATTACTGTGTTTATGAGGATACTTGCAAAAAGGGTGTTTTTACACCCAATTATGTTTATTTAAAGTCGGCATGAAATCAAATTTGAAAAATCTTCTTTTTATATGTAATACTGTAGTGTTTATTATAAATGATTTATCTGTGCACTTCATTATTTTTTAAAAAAAATTCATGTACCCATAATCTTTAATCAAAGACATTACCCTTCCCTACTCCATCGAAACGACCTCTCTTCTATTTCGGTCACGTGGAATGGCGAAAGGGTGCGGTCAGATCTAATGAGGGTGCGGCTATCGGTGCCCCGCTTCTCAGAGAATCACATTCAAATCTGCCTCCAGTTTGTATGCAATGCCCAAACTTCATTGATCCAATCAATTCCCGAAGGACGGAATTAAACCCTGTCCTACATTTTTTCTAATTTCAAAAGCCGTTTCACTCGGATATACATCACGACAAGGACAAAATGACAATCTCAACTTCCGTTTCACGCCGACTTTAACTGTTTAAGCCCAATTACGTGACAAAAAGAACTTAGTTCAATCCTTTCATGCTTTATGAGCAGTGGCTTTATGTGCATGCGTCTCTCAGAACAATCACAATGTTTCAGTTGGAGATGGAAATGACCCATATGGCTGGGTGATAAGGACAAAACAAATCATAGTATCTCTGTATTTTTGTGGCTGACATGCGATATACTGACATTTGCTGATTACTCAGTAAGTCTGTAAAGTTTAGTGGAGACTGTAATATATTTGCATGACTTTGTAACATTTACTGATGGAGGATTTACCTTTGATATGAAAGTTATGCACTGAGGAAAACACCCACATCTCAAACGCATTAAACAGCACAAGTATCTGTCAGAGCACCTGGCAGTGTAAGCCGTGTTAAAATAAACACGTTAACTATATCTTATGAGCTATTTTGAGGCCTTTAATATAAAGCATGTCTTATATTTAATATATATATATATTTCTTATCAAAAATGCATCCTG